ACCTCTTCTGAATAACCATGGGTCCCAGGATGTTGATACTTTGCAAGTTGCATCCTGAGATGAAAGGCTATAAAATTTGTTCAACATAATGACTTTGTTCGACTTTCAATCACAGGGGTGAAATGTTTTTAAAAAAATTAACAGGGTCTTTTGAATGAATTTTAATCATAAATACTGATATTTTGCCTGTAGCTTTATTTTAGATCACTTTTAAGGTTACAAGTGTGAGATTTATACCAGGTGAGCGATGCAGGCCCATTGGGCCTCTTTTTTTTATTGAATATTCCTCAAGTCAATTATTGTGCCACTGATTAATGAAATTAGACATCCTGAAAGAGAATTAATTGATATTATTTTTTTTATTTTAATTCTTTAATATGTTTTCGTTGAATGATTTGCAAAATGTGGTGGAATACAAATGTATACTCAGAAAGAAAAATTTCACTGCCATTATTTTGTAAGACAAACAACAAAATGGCATAGTAAAAGTGATTTCATCTGAATAACTCAAAAATTCTCAGATTATGATATAGAAAGGTCAGCAGGTGAAATTTTCTTTTAATAGCGCTATAATTAGCCCCATTTGACTGAAGTACTTGGTAGTACTTTATACTTTTAAAGTCCTGGGTTGAAATCCTGGTAATTTCAGAACCAGACCAGAACTTTAGTCTTACACACTGGTACTGGAGACACTATTAAAAGTAGGGAATGTGATGTGTATAAAATAATATTTACTACTACTAGTAGCTATAGTGTGTCCAGCACCTGTGGTCTGAATGGAGATGGACGCTCTGACCAATTAAGCTAACAGGCATGTACACAGTGGTACGTTTGGAACTTGTGTAGAAAGAAAGTGCAGGTATTAGGAGGGGAACGTCATATTCGTATTGCAAGGTTCAGTAATGTTGCAGTAAATAAGTCCTAGCAAGGATTTTGTCTCTGTGCGAGAGGGAATGACTACAACTCTGTATCTACTCATTCCAGTCGTAATACACATGCCTTACCAAATTGACGACTTCAGAGAGCCTATTAGTCCTCCATTACTCTTAATTAATCGCCTTAAGTTCCCGAACTTGCTGACCAAAGACATCTTTGCCCAGATGACGGGATCTGCGGCTCCGTTTTGTGTATTACCTACGGACTTCAAGGACAACGCTTGTTTATTGGATAATAATAATTGGAATAGATTTATATTTCCCAAAATAAAAATAATTATCGAATTGATGCATTTTTTTAGAATATATAATTTAATCGTTTTGCATTTAATCTATAAATTAAAATTTCTGTACAGAACATAAACATAAAAACAAATGTCGCTCTGCAGAAAATACCAATGGCGGCCTCCATGAATGTAATGCCCGGCGGAATAGAAGACGATTTTGATGAAGATGATGACGATTTATGTCTTGATGATGATTATGCAGTGAAGAAGAAGCCAGCGTGGGATCCGTATGAAAGTTCTGCAACATATGTAAGGACATGCTTTATTGTTGTTAATCACATGCAGTAAGTTTACATAAAACATCGGCTGAACTTTATCTCAACAATTGACCATTGACATACGAAGTGACTTTGAAGTTTGACCGCTGACCATAGTGGGTGTTATTTGTAACAATGACTGAAGCAGCAAAAAGGACTTGAAGTTCAGCAAGAGAGATTTGATTAACTAGTCTATATAGTCAGTCAGTTGAACTTGATGAACATCAACCTATTTACGGCGGACTTTTAAATAATATTTTGATTTTAAAAAAGGCCGGTATCATTTCCTCTGATCACATACTATTTTGACTGGATGATCGTGGAACAGAGGCTCAGTCAAGAATACAGGTAAAATGCCTAAAAAGAACAAAATATCTTACGGGTCTCACATCCCTTTTTATAGGAGAATTTTCAATGTTTTTTTACTGCAAAAAAACACCTTTTAGTCCTTGTCACAAAACCTTGACAAACTTGATTTTAAGTGATGTTTCTTCACACTACACGTCCTTCTAAAGCAGACATTGTGTATATGAAAGTAAGAGAAGATGTTCTATGGTCGGTAATGATAAATGACATGGCACTTAATTACAACAGTATAAAACCATATTTTTTATTTGAGTCATGATCCATTTTAGAGGAATTTTATGAAAAGCAAATATATAGAATGGATAACATAACAAGTACACAACAGTCAGTCAGTAATATTTACTGTGTCTGTCCTCCTGGTTATAATTAACAGGTGGAGGAGATGGTACTGCGCCTGTGACAAAATGTTATGTTCACACTAAGAAACTGTTGGATCACTATTGTTTTTAGCTCAAGCTTCCTCTGGCCCTAACACCAGACTTAGACATTATGAAAGATAGATGTCTGGTGTGGGGCCAGAGCCCACTGCTATATGAAAAAGTGGAATTCTCCGACACCGTTTGGTATTGGGGACTGAGTGACTAATCAACAAAAAAGATGTGATCCGGAAATCTTCTTAAAAAGAATAATATATTTCGTTTTTGGGTTCAGATCAGTACGGTTTGTTGATTAGGCAACACCCCATGACCTTCTAAAATGGCTTTCACTCAGGTGGGAAATTTTGAACGATTGAAAATCGAGGACTCTACTAACAGAATTTAGCAGCTGTTGGTGATGAAAAGAGCTGACTTGGATCAATAAATAATCCATTTATCGATATATGTGAGTAATGTGTTGTGTCATAGCAGTTTTTCGTTGTCAGCAACTCATAACTCTCCAATACCAAACGGTATCTGAGAATTCCACATTTTCATATAGCAGTGCGCTCTGGCCCCACACCAGACATCTATTTGTCAAAATGTGTAAGTCTGGTGTTAGGTCCAGAGGAAACTCTGGCTATATTGTTTTAATCATGATGTCTCAGCTAATTTGCTTGAAAGTTGAACAATCTAAGGTTAATTCCACTGAAATAGCACTGTATTGCTATGATTTTTACTGTACTCTTAGTGTCTTTATCACTGCAGTCGCAAGTGCAAACTTATGCAGTTCAGTGGATTCCATATGGGATCCGGTTAAAACAGCCCTAATGAAAATGGCCCTACCTGTGTGTATAAAGTGTACTGTACGACAAATGCACGATACAAATAGTAGTTAAAATTAACAGTGTTGCCTTCATAGTTTTAGTTTACTCATGTCTAAACAAAACTTACTTAGTTCAATATTAATAATTTAAGCTAAAATATGAATTTTTGACGATTAACTACTACCGCAAAATGTCTTGTCAGATACGTTACTAAAAGACAAAACCATATGCAGGCATTGACTAAAGGTATTGTAGGGTTTATATTTCTGAAAAAAATTGTTACCTTTGAATGGGAGTAAAGATTGAAAAAAATGTCATGTACGCTTCCGTATGCTTTTGGCAGTACAGTATAAGATAACGCCCCCTTGTACCCTGTAAAAATTGTTTTGTTTTTCTGGCTGACAAGGTAATATATACGTTGCAATTACTTATAATTTGAGAAACAGGCGATGTACTAGTTTCGTTTCTTTGTTGTGTTGCTGAAGAACGAATGTTTTGTAGATATGTATTAGTTATTAGACGAAAAACACTTTTCTCAAACTTAACCAATGAATACTGTTCAAAAGTTTGAAGTTTAAAAAATGAAATAAATGTTGTTTTTTAAATGATTTTCGTTTGAGATAAATTGCCTATTTTCATATATCGGCATGTATATATGCACCTAGACCGATGGCTGACCAGTAGAACGTACAACAGGATGGACCCTTTTGGTGACTTTTTAAAATTACATGTNACCTAAGGTCATCTTCCATATACTATCACATTACCTAAGGTCATCTTCCATATACTATCACATTACCTAAGGTCATCTTCCATATACCATCACATTACCTAAGATCATCTTCCATATACTATCCCATTACCTAAGGTCATCTTCCATATACTATCACATCACCTAAGGTCATCTTCCATATACTATGACATTACCTAAGGTCATCTTCCATATACTATCACATTACCTAAGGTAATCTTCCATATAATAGCACATTTTCCAAAAGCACAATTTCTCAATCTATTTATTTTGTTATCATTTATGTTATTTCATATATTTTATATTATGTAAGCTCTTATATAATTGTTTTTATTTTTTTAAAAGAATGAAAATGGAGTAAGAAATTTTGGAGGTTTTGGACAACCTGCAACAAAACCAAGAAGTAGCATTGTGAAGGATAAAAGAGAAGCAAAGGGGACAAACGCCCACAAACAATCTGTAGGAATGGATGACTTGCGGACAGCAGCTCTGAGGGATAATGTAGACATTATAAAATCCCTAAAAGAGAAAGGTAATTTTTGTGACAGGTAAAACCTAAAAAAAAATATAAAAGCTTCAAATCATTTATACTAATTATTTTATTGTCTTCAAATTTATCTGACATATTCATAAGATCTGTCATCCTTAAAATTCCAGGGTTACTCTCTGTTTCATTTCTTGCTACCCCACCTGAAATATGTTTTCACGAAATGGAAGGCTCTGAAGTGTGCTTTTCGTTATGACATACTAGGTGTGAAAAGAGCTAAAGTAATTGCAGCCACTGGATTTTAGAGGATGCAGATCTGTTTGCCTAAGTAGCATGTTTAAAAAATCAATAGACAGTCATTTATTTATAAAACAAATACATGCATATCACATTTATATTCCCTTGTGCTGAAATTGGTTTTTAAATCAAATGAAATTGAGTAACGAATTCTGGAGGTTATGTTTCAATGTAGTTGGTTTAAGATCTCGTTAGGCCTCCACCACTGGGTCGCGCGCTGGAGGCCTGCGTATACGTAGGGCAGTTGCTAGGTACTGGCCGTACGGTAGGTCGGTGGTTTTTTCCCGGGAACTCCCGCTTTCCTCCACCACCAAAACCTGGCACGTCCTTAAATGACCATAGCTGTTAAAAGGACGTAAAACACAAACAAACGAGTTTTATTGTTATCCTACATTTATGTGTTCGCTATTTGTTAAGGGTTGGATGTGGACACAGGACTCCGAGCTGGATGGACAGCACTCATGTATGCTGCCAACATGGCCAACTACAATGTTGTGGAGTATCTACTTAACAATGGAGCAAACCCTAACAGCCATGCAGGTATCCATAATTAAGTTTCTTAAAAAAAAATATGAATTTCTATTTAAGGGACATTTTGGGGTAAGGCATTGTCTGTCTATAAATCATAGACAAATGTGTACAAAAATACACCATTGCTAAGTAAGGTGCTTTTTTGGGGGTTTTCAGTGACCCTGCCTTTAGAAATTCACATTAACCTTATAACATTTTAACCAAGCTTCCTACATATGGTTTATCTTTGTTATTTTACTAAAAACTGTTTTAAGGCCTAAGATAATGATCAAAATTTGTATATTAAATATTCCTTGATTTGTTTGGACAATTTGTGAGGTGGTAGTTCCATATGATTAGAACTATGAGGATGAATGATGCATTTTAGGCTTCCTTAGTACACCCTTTGTCTAAAGTCAACATTCTAAATTCTTCATAGATACCATTGACATGTTTTAGAATTTATGACACTTTTCTTCACAAAAAATAGTTATGTTGTCTTATCTGTCTTACAGTTGGGACACATTTAAATCTTTGAAAAAATCTGGATTGTCTCCCTTAGGAGACACAAAATCTACTGTCCTGTCTCCCTAGTAATCACTGTATGCTATGTCTCTGTTTGTAGACCTGTACTCTGTGTTGATGGCGTGTTGTGCGTCCACCTCTAGGTTTACTGACCGCCTTGAGAAGTGTGTCGCTCTCCTACTGGACAAGGGAGCCGAGGTGAATGCCCACGACAGGTACTGGTCACCAAAAGACCTATTAGCAAACTAGCTTTGAAGTTCATCATTGAACACCAAATCAAACGGAAGAAGTTAAAAGCCTGTTGAGACTGAAGTTACAAAGGTCACAAAATAATTTCATTAAAAACATTTTAGATGCCAATGTTGCTCAAGGTAATGAGTGATAGTCATTGCTCATTAATAGTATTTATTGATTTTTCATGAGTTGCAAGTGAGAGAAGAACCTTGTCCACTAATAAGGCTAAAGTCAAAAGTTTATGTGATTTATGTTTTTTAGAGTAAGGCGTCGTGTTCTCAAGTGAAAAAAAATCACAAAACTTTGTTAAGTTTACAAATACATGTATATGTTTCATTACAAACAAGTTTTTCATCAATTAATAACATAACAATGTTAATAAGAACCTATTCCTCTCCCAGGTACCACTTGTCTCCCCTTATGTATGCTGTGCGAGAAGGTCGTGTTGGTGTTGCCAAGCAACTGGTAGACGCTGGAGCTAGCTTAGATAAACAAGATACACGCGGATGGACGGTACGATTATCATCACTTGGTGTTTACATCTATTTTTTGTTCCTCAGATGTATAATGTCTGTATTTATCACTTAACTGGTAAATCTTAACATAGCTATGGCAAATTTTTAGGCCATGCATGTGTACAAAATTGGTATTTCACACTATGAAAATACAAGATGAAATAGTAGTTTGAAATCTAAATGTTGCAGACATTTCAGTGCTATTTTACACTATGGTTTTAATACAATTTCATTATTCCATCCTCAACATATTTTATATAAGCAATACCACAAATTCGCAAAATATGTCTTTATCTGACGTTGCTGATAAAAATCTTATTGAGAGAACAAAATGTGTCTACCACGTACACCTGCACTAGATAGTTAGTTGATGAGCTGTCAGTATTTGTATGTTACACACACCTGAGCTGTCAGTATTTGTATGTTACACACACCTGAGCTGTCAGTATTTGTATGTTACACACACCAATAACTGCAATTTATGATTTTTTCGTCTCATCCGCAGGCCTTGAGCTGGGCCATCAGTAAAAACAAGGAAGAGTCAGTCAAGTTTTTACTGGTCAACAAGGCTGACCCGAAGAAGAAACACTGTGATAATACAACAGCTTTGGATCTGGCGGAATTACAGGAAAACTCTAAGGTAGGTATATACAGATCTGGCGGAATTACAGGAAAACTCCAAGGTAGGTATATACAGATCTGGCGGAATTACAGGAAAACTCCCAGGTAGGTATATACAGATCTGGCCGAGTTACAGGAAAACTCAAAGGTAGGTATATATAGATATGTTGGAGTTACAGGAAAACTCCAAGGTAGGTATATACAGATCTGGCGGAATTACAGGAAAACTCCCAGGTAGGTATATACAGATCTGGCCGAGTTACAGGAAAACTCAAAGGTAGGTATATATAGATCTGGTGGAGTTACAGGAAAACTCAAAGATAGGTATATACAGATCTGGCCGAGTAACAGGAAAACTCAAAGGTAGGAATAAACAGATCTGGCAGAGTTACAGGAAAACTCAAAGGTAGGTATATACAGATGTGGGGGAATTACAGGAAAACTCAGAGGTAGGTATATACAGATCTGGGGCAATTACAGGAAAACTCAAAAGGTAGGTATATACCGATCTGGCAGAGTTATAGGAAAACTCCAAGGTGGGTATATACAGATAATTAAAATCAACAAAAATCACCTAGTAGTTTATTTATGTACTATACACAATAAAAAAGTGTCAAAATGATAAGGTAAGCATACAAGTTTTATCCTTTTGTGTCAGCATCCGTAACATTGAGTCACAAGATATTTAAATTGACGGCAGATATACACTAAACATACTGATGCAATGATAAATACAAGAAGTATCTTAATAAAGAAGGCTACCAAATCTCCCTTATACACTTTGAAATGAAAATATTTCGTCGTCACAAAAATGTTAAAGACAATAATCAAAGAAAGTTTGACTTTGATTTATCCAATGTCTGTTATCCATATGTTCCTTTAAAACTGTAACTTCCTAATGATGAAAAATAATTTACCAAATTGAAAGCATATCTCGGGTGCTAAAGAAAAATCATTTCAGCAGAAAAAAGGATTTTCACAGAATCTTTTGTGTCAGAGTCTGTAATTTCACTACCCTACAGATCCTTGCACTATTAGGCAGTGGCTCAGCCCAACAACAGCCTGTCACAGTGGTTAATGGTTTACCCCAGCCCCAGGTATATCAGCCACCCTTACTACCTAATGGCCATGTGGTTCAGGAGGCTGAAGTGTCTATGGGCGAGGAAAGGTGAGTAATTACTACATCATTGTACCATTATCAGTGTCTTTTATCTTTTTACACCAGCCTGTTCTTATATTTGTATGGATTAGGAAAATACAGCAACATTTTTATTGAAATTGGGACGATATTCCTCCTTTTATAGGGGAAGCAGCCAGGAGTTTTTTTTGCAGTAAAACAAAGGGGAAAAATCACTATCAGAAACAAAAACAATCATTGGCAGGTTGTTTGATAAATTAAACTGAAGTCTATTAATTTTCAAAATTAAAATTAATCGGTTAAATAATATCACTAAAGTTAAAAGAGACAGAAACAAGATGAGTGATTATCTTTATGTTAAAGTAAGTTTTATTTGTGATTCTGAGTGTCAATTACCTGGTATTTAGTGTTTTTAACCAGGCCTCGAGCTCCTGTATGAGAGAACTAGGCTTGTTAGGGATAATTGGTTTCCTTAGAAATGAACCATCCCTTTTGTGTCAGTTGTTTAGAATAGTGGCTAATGTATTTCTGTATTACTTTTACTAGGTATACCAAGTGTGGGGAGTTGGAACTGTTTCTGGGTGGCCTTGACCTCACGAACTTCATATCACTGTTCCGCGGACAGGAAGTTGACTTTGCTACGTTTCTGCGGATGTCTGATGATGACCTTATCAAGGTACATAAATATTCATGTATATAGCAGTTTATTGCTGCGAGAATACTTCAAATATTTCCGAAAAATCTCTGAAAAATGTACGATAAATGGTTCCAAACCAGGAATGGTTTTCGACTGTTCTTGTGTTTAGTGTGCACACATTTCTCAATATTATCATTTTCCCCTAAAAAATGTGTACTATACAATATGAGTAAATATTTACGATACATGAAGAATGTTTATATTTTTTTAAAAATGTATTTCCCCTATAAGGGTACCTGCACATTAAACACGAGTGTGCACAATACACAAATATTTATTGTAATAGGGTTTAATATCTTAATCATTTATGTCGTGCCCATGAAATATGCAAGGAGTGCACTCGTGAAAATATTTGTCCGCACAATAATTGAGTGCTTTCTGATTCGTTAGAAAAACACAAGTTTGTGGTTTTGCTTTTATCACATACCTTCCGTATTCGGTAAAGATCGATACAAAGATTTTATAAACTTTGATTTTTTTTGCAAATACCGGGAACTTTTCAGTTCGCCATGTCAAGGGGATTCCCAAAAAAGTAGTTCCGGCTAGTAGGTAAATACAACATTCCGTATTGCACATGTGCAATACAGAACGTTGTATTCCATGATCTGAAAATTGCTTGTATTACTATAACAAGATTCAACAGGTATGTGATAAATTGATTTATTTCATTTCTGAGATATTCTCAGCACTTGTATTCTTTTATTTATAAGTTTCATTCAGTGATAAAATTAATGTTTACCACTTGCTAATTTCATCATCTGTTGGTAGATCGTATAAAACTTGTGTACTTTTGTGATTTTCAGATGGGCATTCATCAGATAGGGGTAAGGAAGAAGATACTAGACGGAGTACATGCTGTACATAAGAAAGAATGGGAGAATACCAGTATTCCATCTGTACAGGCCAAACACATCAGGTCAGTCTTTACCGTATAGGTCCCCTTGGCATCGCAGTCATAACAGTTTTATCTCCCTACAGATATCAATGAAATTTCATACAAAGATTTAATGACATCACCTTTTGATGATTGCGGTCCATTAGTTTTACAGTCTGTAGTTTCTGTAAACAGTCATTCCTTAAGTCACATGTGCCGTCCGTGTTGTGTGTTTTCAAAATGTCGTTATGGCAGTGTAGATCATGCTTGTTGTTATCTGTGCCGATGACAGCTCCTATCAAATATATTCAGATCAATGACTGAAATTAACGGTAGCGCTGTATGTATTTACACCCTGGGGCCTGTTCGTTTATGTGGGACAAACGGTTTGACCGTTTATGAATGTAACAATTTTCGGGTATAAATCCTGTCGGACCTGCACATGTTTATGCAGGCCTTGCAAGGCTCTGATAAGGCTCGCCTAAAAGCAGCATCAGATTACTTGGTCCGACCTTATTTAATAAACGAACAAATGTGGTCCAACCGGTTTGACCGTTTATACGAAAACGGCCCCGGTTATTGCTTACTTGGATTGTCAGATCACTTTTATTCACACACAAAAAAAGTGAAAATTAAGCGGAGCTGAGAGTAATAATGTATGTATTAGCTTGGCCTACTGTCAGACTTCATTGTTAAACACATGTGACTATGAGTGATCATTTTGGCTAGGTTGATTGCCTACTGACACACCAGAGTATTCTCCCCTTACACCATAATAATGTTTAGAAGCAAAGAAAACAGTTTGAATGGAGAGTTATCCTTCTTTATACACACAAAACATTCTATTACTCCTACATTTACTCCTCAGAATCAGGAGAATAATGTTAAAGTTAATTTAGAATCTAGAACAGATGTCACACAAAAGTCCCAATATTTCGGCCTCCTGGCCTTCTTCAAGGGCGAAAGTCAACGTTTGTTTCAAGTAACGTCCATCTTGCTTATTCAGAGGTACAGGAAATCATTTAGTATTTACTTTTTTAGAAGTATGGGAAGTGGAATAAATGAGTTAGGATTTGTTTGAATCTTGATTGGTTCATGCTTAACTTTAAGTATAATTTTCATGCTTTTCTTGTTGTTTTGAATCAGAAACAGATAAGTAACATACAAACCAGTTATTATACAGGGCAGTCTATGTGCAATTTTCAAAATCCAATCCATATGGGTTATAAACATACTCCGGCAATGCTGTTTCACTGTGTGGATAAAGGAAATCTAATTTCAAAGGGAAAGAGTCTGATAATTTTCCTTGACATGTATACTCAATACTTATGAAACCCTTGGAAGTCAGAGTGTTGTGTACTTATATAACATTTTGTGTTCTCCTTCATACAGTTTTTGTAACATATACTACAAGGCATGTACAAGGGAATTTTGTTTCGTGTAAAAATGATGGCATCTCAACAACACATGGGTATGTCCCTGTTGAAATATGGTAAATCATTAAAAACCTTAAGAATTACTCGTCGTAGTTTAAACAAAACCTTTCAATTTAGAGTAAATAAATCTTCCAGATTTTTAGATTTTAGCTCACCTGCCAAAATTATATCTCCAGAAATACTGGATTGATCTTTCTAAAATTTCATATGTACATACAATACCTACCATGGAGTGCTATATCTTTACCTCATATCAAGTACTTTAACTCATTCACCACTGAAGACACATTTGGACTCTTCCAATTCAAAGGTTGGAGTAGTTCATTATGAAATTTCAGGGGTGAATGAGTTAAACATATCCAGGTAAGCGATACAGGCCCTCTGGGCCCCTTGTTGATATGTTTCATTAAGGTCAGTATCTTCCTAGGCAGGATATCTGAGGAAGTGTTGAAGCCAAATATATTCAGTTCTCTTAGAGAGTTGAACATCTGAAGCAGCATAAAATAGCAGACTAGGAAATGAGAACTGGAATACCCTAGGTCCATCATACTCAAATGTCATACATGGTTTTGTGCAGAAAGTCTTGCTTCAAATCCAAAGGTCAACAGTCATTTACTTTAAAAAGAAAATTATTTGACTTCCCTTTGGTCAGTCAAGTTCAGATTTCTTACAAGGCTTCCATAACCAAATTAATTGCCTGGGATTGCTTTGAGGTTAACAGTTCAAGGTCACAATTGTTATTTCTCGAAAATTAGTTTCTATAATTAGTTCATTTCCTTGAAAATCTAACTGAAAATATCGTAAGGACTTTCAACTCACCTGCCCGAGGACTTTCAACTCACCTGCCCGAAGGACAAATGAGCTTATGCCATGGCACAGCGTCCGTCTGTCGTCCGTCAACTTTTCCTTTAAAACGCTACAAGTCCTGAACAGCTCAGTGAATTTTAACAAAATTTGGTCTGGATCATCCATGGAACAAATTTTAACAAAATTTGGTCTTCATCAAATTGTCTAGAAGTGCCTGTTTATAATTAGGGTGTTTTCATTAAAACAAGATGGCCACCATGCCGCCATCTTGGATTTTTTACATTTGAAGTTTGTTCTTGCTATATATCTCCAGAAATACTGGATGGATCTTTCTGAAATTTCATATGTACATACTGTAGGTACTGTAATTATTACAGTACCTACCATGGAGTGCTATGTCTTTACCTCATATCAAGTACTTTAAACATATCCAGGTGAGGGATACATGCCCTCTTGGCCTCTTGTTTAACCAAAGTTTGTGATTATCAAATTTGAATGTCATTTTTATGATCAGAATATATTTTTAGATAACCTAATAAATGACCTTAAAATCACATGTAAAATTGTTAAAACCTAAAAATGACTTTTAAAGAACCATATGGCCCAGAGTAATTTGAGGTTAAAGTCTAAAGATTTGGTATTGGCACTTTAGCTAGCTTTGTTTAAGGTTTCATTTTTAGCTCACCTGGCCCGAACGGCCTAGTGAGCTTATGCCGTGGTGCGGCGTCTCGCGTCCGGCGTCAATATTTTACTTCAAACAAATTCTTCTCAATAACCAAAAGGCCCCGGGTACTGATTTTGGGCCTGTAACATGCAGGGATGAAGGGCTACCAAGTTTGTTCAAATTAAAGACCTTGACCCACTTCCAAGGTCACAGGGGTCAAATGTCTTAAAATCCTCAAACAACTTCTTCTCAATAACCAAAAGGCCCAGGGTACTGATATTGGGCTTATAGCATGCTGGGATGAAGGGCTTCCAAGTTTGTCGAAATGAATGACCTTGACTCATATTCAAGGTCACAGGGGTCAAATGTTGTAAAACCTTCAAACGACTTCTTCCCTATAACCAAAATACCCAGGGTACTGAAATTTGGCCTGTAGCATGCTGGGATGAAGGGCTACCAAGTTTGTTCAAATGAATGACATTGACTTATATTCAAGGTCACAGTGGTCAAATATGTTAGAAACCTGTAATACAACTTCTTCTGAATAACCAAAATGCCTAGGATGATGATGATATTTGGCCGGTAGCATGCTGGAATAAAGGACTACCGAGTTTGTTCAAATTAATGACCTTGACTTATATTCAAGGTCACAGGGGTCAAATATGTTAAAAATCTTTAAGCGACTTCTTAATAAGCAAAAGGCCAAGGGTGATGATATTTGGCCATTAACATGCTGGGATGAAGGACTACCAAGTGAATGACCTTCGCCCATATTCAAGGTCACAGTGGTCTATTTATGTTTAAATCTTTAAATGATTTGTTCTGTATAAGCAAAAGGTCCAGGGTAATGATATTTTGCCAGAAGCATGCTGGGTAGGCAGACTGTAAACTCTGTTCAACCTAATGTCCTTGTTCGACATTCAAGGTCACAGGCGTTATATGTTTAAATCTTTTAATAGGTTCTTATGAATCAAACACTGATATTCTGCCTGTAGCTGTATTTTAGTCCACTTTTAAGATTACAAGTGTGAGATTAATACCAGGTGAGCGATGCAGGCCCATTGGGCCTCTTGTTGTTCAAAATAACATCACCATGAAAATTATTCTGCACACAGTAAGTGATAAGGGGGCTTGAAGTAAGGACCTCTTTGCAAGATTTTATTGACCTCAGACCTATCAAACGAAATGAATGGAGATTGATTTTCCAGCTTTATAACCGTACAATCTTAAGGAACGTAGCTTTATGTGCATGCATTGAATAGAGGTTGTGGTGCTTGTTGGGTGTAGACCAATTCCTTGTCACTGGAAGACACCTCTGGCGAGATTCCGCCGTCTAAACATCCCCCTCGCCTCCGATTGCTTGGCTGCAGTGGTGACACCTGTTGGCGAGATGTAATTAAGAAATGACACTTTTATGGCGACCTGCACTTGAGTGTAAGATATTACTTAAAGGTTTAGATTCCCTTGCTGGAAGCCTCGTAAGGAATGCCGAGTTACTAACATTCATGTAACATTTCACGTAAAATTGATCAGTGTTGCTGTTACAAGAAAACTGTGGTATATATTATGTTGGGATCTTGGGCAATGAGTTAAAGATGGGATATACAGACATTGCAAAAGACCATACAGTACTGAAATCTCTAACACAGACAATTCAATGTGAAGTGTCTATTAGACACTAGGAAAGACAGTTCTTGTGTAAGTGTCTTAACACTAGATAAGAGAGTACAGTATAAAAAAGTCTATCAGACACAAAAAAAGATAGTACAGTATAAAATTGTCTGGGGCACAGTACAAAAGACAGTTCTTGTGAAAGTGTCTTAAGACGGATACTAGAAAAGACAATGCAGTATAAAAGTGTGTTTAAGACACTAGAATAGACAATAAAATTTGAAAGTGTCTACTAGAGACATACAAGTTATAATATAAAAATGTATAATTTCATTGGACAGTAGTGTAACACAGACACTAGAAGAGACGATTTGAGGGTTACTTTAAAACAAAGACTTGAAAGGCAATAAAATTTGAAAGAGTATTTCAGACAGACACTTGAAAGGCAATACAATTTAGAACTGTCTAAATACAAAATTGAGGATGCTATTTGCTATAGAGTGAACCTAACACGGACTATTGGTTAGTAGAAGGTTTAAGTGTTGTAACACATTGGACCAGGCTGACCAGACTTGATCAGGAACCTGTAGTCCCATCCCTAACAAGTGTAGACAGAGCTGTAACACATGCCTTCTCATGCAGAATTAAACAAATCATTTCTTCAACTTAAACACACACTTCAACACTTCATTTGATTTCAGGGTTGTCCTCTTAGCTAGATAAACAAATTTGCCCCCTACATGTTTTGTATGCTCCAAACATTTCTTCTTTTCAATCTACTGGGATGATACTCTGACACTACTCTATACAGTTAAACTTTGCTATACTTTCACCATTATACAGTAAAATCTTGTTATACTGTCACCATTATACAGTAAAACCTTGTTATACTGTCACCATTATACAGTAAAACCTTGTTATACTGTCACCGTTATACAGAAAAATCTTGTTATAATGTCAACATTATATAGTAAAACCTTTTTGTACTGTCACCATTTGTCAGTAAAACCTTTTTATACTGTCACATTATACAGTAAAACCTTTTTATACTGTCACCATTAGACAGTTAAACCTTGTTATACTGTCACATTATACAGTAAAACCTTGTTAAACTTTCACCATTATACAGTAAAACCTTATTAAACTGTCACCATTATACTGTAAAACCTTTTTATACTGCCACCATTATACAGTAAAACCTTTTTATGCTGTCACCATTATACGGTAAACCTTGTTATACTGTCACTATTATACAGTAAAACCTTGTTATACTGCTTCCGTTATACAGTAAAACCTTGTTATACTGCCACCATTATACAGTAAAACCTTTTTATGCTGTCACCATTATACGGTAAACCTTGTTATACTGTCACTAATAAACAGTAAAACCTTGTTATACTGTCACCATTATACAGTAAAACCTTATTATACTGTCACCATTATACGGTAAAACCTTGTTATATTGCCACCATTATACAGTAAACCTTGTTATACTGCCACCATTATACAGTAATCTTTGTTATATTGCCACCATTGTACAGTAAACTTTGTTATATTGCCGCCATTGTACATTATATTCTATTGATAAAACATTGCTATACTGACACCCTTATATAGTAAAACCTTGTAACGCTGCAACCATTATAAGAAAAAACTTGGAATATTTGTAATATCATGATGTCATCAGGCTTGGCTTTGAGACAGTCTATAACTAATCACTTTGAAGGTATTTGTAAACTATGTTTATGAATTCAGAGCCCTGTTGGCTTCTTTGGCACTTCCTGGTAGATGATATAGACACCACTAGGGTTTCCCACGTCCTTGTAGATGATATAGAAGATCACTAGGGTTTCCCACCTCCTGGTAGATGATATAGAAGACCACTAGGGTTTCCAACTTCCTGGTAGATGATATAGACACCACTAGGGTTTCCCACGTCCTGGTAGATGTTATAGACACCACTAGGGTTTCCCACTTCCTGGTAGATGATATAGAAGACCACTAGGGTTTCCCACTTCCTGGTAGATGATAAAGACACCACTAGGGTTTCCCACTTCCTGGTAGATGATATAGAAGACCACTAGGGTTTCCCACGTCCTGGTAGATGATATAGACACCACTAGGGTTTCCCACTTCCTGGTAGATGATATAGAAGACCACTAGGGTTTCCCACTTCCTGGTAGATGATATAGACACCACTAGGGTTTCCCACTTCCTGGTAGATGATATAGAAGACCACTAGGGTTTCCCACTTCCTGGTAGATGATATAGACACCACTAGGGTTTCCCACTTCCTGGTAGATGATATAGAAGACCACTAGGGTTTCCCACTTCCTGGTAGATGATATAGACACCACTAGGGTTTCCCACTTCCTGGTAGATGATATAGAAGACCACTAGGGTTTCCCACTTCCTGGTAGATGATATAGACACCACTAGGGTTTCCCACTTCCTGGTAGATGATATAGAAGACCACTAGGGTTTCCCACTTCCTGGTAGATGATATAGACACCACTAGGGTTTCCCACTTCCTGGTAGATGATATAGAAGACCACTAGGGTTTCCCACTTCCTGGTAGATGATATAGACACCACTAGGGTTTCCCACTTCCTGGTAGATGATATAGAAGACCACTAGGGTTTCCCACTTCCTGGTAGATGATATAGACACCACTAGGGTTTCCCACTTCCTGGTAGATGATATAGAAGACCACTAGGGTTTCCCACTTCCTGGTAGATGATATAGACACCACTAGGGTTTCCCACTTCCTGGTAGATGATATAGAAGACCACTAGGGTTTCCCACTTCCTGGTAGATGATATAGACACCACTAGGGTTTCCCACTTCCTGGTAGATGATATAGAAGACCACTAGGGTTTCCCACTTCCTGGTAGATGATATAGACACCACTAGGGTTTCCCACTTCCTGGTAGATGATATAGAAGACCACTAGGGTTTCCCACTTCCTGGTAGATGATATAGACACCACTAGGGTTTCCCACTTCCTGGTAGATGATATAGACACCACTAGGGTTTCCCACTTCCTGGTAGATAATATAGACACCACTAGGGTTTCCCACGTCCTGGTAGATGATATAGAAGACCACTAGGGTTTCCCACTTCCTGGTAGATGATAAAGACAACACTAGGGTTTCCCACTTCCTGGTAGATGATAAAGACAACACTAGGGTTTCCCACTTCCTGGTAGATGACATAGACACCACTAGGGTTTCCCACTTCCTGGTAGATGATAAAGACAACACTAGGGTTTCCCACTTCCTGGTAGATGATAAAGACAACACTAGGGTTTCCCACTTCCTGGTAGATGATAAAGACAACACTAGGGTTTCCCACTTCCTGGTAGATGATAAAGACAACACTAGGGTTTCCCACTTCCTGGTAGATGATATAGACCCCACTAGGGTTTTCCACTTCCTGGTAGATGATATAGAAGACCACTAGCCGTTCTTGAAACATGAAATTGGATTCTAGGCAGAAGTTACATTTTTCCTGTCAGTTTTGCTATCGCATATTACATGATGTATCATTGCAACAGTTTGATGAAGGAAAAAAGATACAATTTTAATTTTGTTAAAAACCTGTTTAACATCATACTTTATATGCAAATAAAGATTAAGTTAAAAATAAGCCATTGAAAGCTTACTGTCTTAATGACTTGAACAATGAGATTGCCTTTAAAATACAGGCCGGCTTCACAAATAAGTCTGAGGTACCTTACTAAAAAAGAAAGTAAGTCACAGCTTATTACCAAGATTTCAGGGTATCATTACTAGTTTAGAGATGGCAAAGATACTGTTGATATAAAACTTTAGTGGTCTGTAACAAAATTGTATTTGTGATACAACACCATCCTATTACTTCAGTACATGTACCACCCACCCTTATTATCCTTATCCTGAGTCAATGGTATCCACCCACTTCCCCTTGTTATCCTTATCCTGAGTCAATGGCATGGACTGCAGGAAGTGACATTTAATGAATGGATTCCCTGAATTTAAATCAGAGTTTAGATAGTTGTGACATTGCTGTTGATGTATTTGCATGTTGTTTATACCCTCAGGTGATGATATGCTTTTGTTTTTTGCTTTCTTTGTAGTTGTGCTGATTCTGTTGCCATTGTAGCCAATATTTGTAAACACATCAAGTACATCTCCTCAACGATTGGTTTTATCCAAGACCAGATATCAGCCCAACCACAGTTTTTTAAAATCCAGGTAAGTGCGTATATTGTACATGTATATACATAAATACATAAGAAACAAAGGCAAAACAAGCTATGTTGATTAATCAAAACCCCATTTCCTTTGCACATTTTGTGTACTTTTTAGGTCACCTGAGCTTTAGCTCAAGTGACCTATTGCTATCCGTTTTCGTCCGTCGTCGTCCGTCGTCCGTCGTCCGTTAACATTTTACATTTCAAACTTAAAGTCAAGTTCTGCTGGGCCGATTGAACTGAAAGTTGGTAGGAATGATCGCCTCATGGTCCTGACAAAGTGTTGTTATTTTTCGGGTCGATCAGAAATCCAATATGGCCGCCACGGCCGCCATTTTGAAAACCTATTTCAAACTTAAAGTCAAGTTCTGCTGGACCGATTGAACTGAAAGTTGGTAGGAATGATCGCCTCATGGTCCTGACAAAGTGTTGTTATTTTTCGGGTCGATCAGAAATCCAATATGGCCGCCACGGCCGCCATTTTGAAAACCTATTTCAAACTTAAAGTCAAGTTCTGCTGGACCGATTGAACTGAAAGTTGGTAGGAATGATCGCCTCATGGTCCTGACAAAGTGTTGTTATTTTTCGGGTCGATCAGAAATCCAATATGGCCGCCACGGCCGCCATTTTGAAAACCTATTTCAAACTTAAAGTCAAGTTCTGCTGGACCGATTGAACTGAAAGTTGGTAGGAATGATCGCCTCATGGTCCTGACAAAGTGTTGTTATTTTTCGGGTCGATCAGAAATCCAATATGGCCGCCAC